ATAAGGTTTCATATAGTCAAGTCAAGGACATAAGTTAATTAGTAAGTTTTTGAGTTATAAGCCAAGTCTTTAGGTGTAGAAATATTTTTGTCACCCACCTGTAGTATCAAAATTTTTTTTTTGTTTTAATTTTAACCTTTTTTTTATGCTTACAGTAATAAGCTAAATGTAAGACAAGCAGTTAATTTTATTTTAAAGTCATGGTGTAACATGATTGATATAACTATTCAAAATTATTGGCGTAAAATATGAATCCTTCCAGATGCAAGTGAGGTAGAAATAGAATTTGAATATCAAGAATCTGAAAATAATCTAGATAATGATAAGGTTGTAGAAATTATTACAAACTTGTTATTGAGTAATAATCTTGAAGTTTCTGAAATAGTTCAGGCTATAGAAAGGTATATTTAAACCGTTAATAAACCTGTTGCAACAGAAGGATTGCTCAATAATAAAGAAATAATCATCATGGTATATTACCTGGTTTAATTTTTATTAGTTTAGTTAAAGTATTAAGTATTTTATCATATTTGGCCATAAGAAAAAATTTTTGTTCTAGACAACTTTGCTTTTTTTCTAATAATTTTGTTAAGTCCAAGCTGAGAAAAATGATCAATAACAGGAAAGCGATGATGACGAAGAGCCTCCTTCCCATCTGTAATAACTAAAGAGGTATATAGTACAATATAAACTGTTTTATGCTATAAAAAGCAGACAAATTCAGAATCTAGCCTTGATCTCGAAGAATTAGAATTTTTGTGACAAATAAGTAATAATTATAGATGTATATTTGAAAAGTCTAAAAAGCAAATATCAATTACAAATTATTTTACTTCTGAATATTAATAAGTCTTGTATTTAAAAATAAATATCGCAGTTGAAGCTAAAATCAGTTAATACTAAGAATAGACTTTATTTTGATATGAAATATTAAAAATTTGTAGAATGTATTTTTTTTGTTTTTTTTTTAAGGGTTAGCTTAGGATTTACAGTTAGAATTGTTAATAGATTCTAAATCTCAGCATTATCTGCAATATATACATGATCAGTGTTTAAAATTAGCTTGTACAAGATGTATATATGCAAGAATTTTTGGGTGATTTTTTTAGATTTTTTAAAATCTATTAAGTATGCAAATAAAATTTTTAAAAAAATCACACAAAATGTATTTGTGCAAGTAATTTTTTTTTTTAAATTTTAAATACTGCATATGACTAATCAATATATTAGCTTAGTTTGAATTTTTATAAAAATTAATGCTGCAACAGGAAAATGAATCTAACACTAACTACTAAAATTTTTATTTATTGTGTATCATTTGTATTTAGTATTTATTGAGTTTTGCCAACAACATGATAGTTATTTCAGACTACTTTTCATCTTTTTTAATCTCCTTGTAGTTTCACAATTAAGCAGTATTCATAGAATCGATATGTAAGTACTATTATAACTATTGTATATTGTTAAATTGAGCCTTTGGAATTCTCTTTAATATGGATTAGTGATTCTTTTTTAAAATTTAGCATGTTGAGATTCATACCTGATTCAGTTAATTATATAGCCGAGATAGTGAATATTACAAGAGTTATTATATAATTGATAATAAATTTTTTTGTTATTTTATAATACTTTTTTGAAAAGCTTATGTGCTTTATCTTTTTTAAAAAATGTAAAAAATTTTTAAGAAAATAGAAGCTCACACTTTGCTTTATTTCTTGAATCTCAAAATTTTGTAAATCAGTAATTTGATTGGCCAATCAATCATGTTGTGCTATTCGATTAATCCAAACAATGATAATTTAGTATAAAATTTGAAAAGTATGATAAAGTATATTAGACCAACTCTCTCTAACAAAAAATATCAAGCATTTGAGCTAATCAATAATTGATCTAATATAGCATGATCAGGAAAATTTAAAGAAGCACATGTTCATTTTGCCAAAAATCACTTATAACTAAAAAATTTTATAAGAAATTACCTTTAGCATTCTAACAAAAAACCTTTTCTTGGGCGATTTTACTATAACATCTAACCCTAAAGTAAAGCTAACTCTAAAGTAAAGCTAATTCTAACGTAAATATATTTTCAATTATTATATACCCGAGATTTTTTGTTGGCTATGCTGGGAGGAATCTGTTTAGATTTGAGATGCTAATATAGTCTGCCTTTGTTAATAATATACTAACTAGGCTAAAAAATTTTATCTATTATAAATCTATCATAATAATATATCTGCTATAATATTATATGCTAAAAGATTATTTTTGCTCTGATGTTTGTAAAGATTTAAAAATTACAAGCAACTCAATGCTAAACCGGAGCTATACTATTTAGCAACCTTAATTAAGATCTTAAATTAAACAAGTTATATAGAAATAGGAATCTTATATATGCTACATTAATTATTTTAAAATAATTATATAATAATTTTTATAGTCACTACAAATATTTAATTATATATTTGGTGATTTTATAAAGGTAATTAGATATAGTCACCCCTTTTATAATCATCCGATTTCTGTATTCTGAGCAGGTGACTATATCGAGATGCGACTGTAATAGATTAAAATTAATTTATTATATCAGTTCTATAAATAATATTAAAAATAATAATAAATCAGATAATACTAAAATTTTGATTTATATTATTATAAACATTTAAATTTTTTTTAAATATTTTGTTTGTCTTTTTTTTTATAATTAGGTTTAAAATTTGAAAATAATATTTATAATAAAAAAGTATAAATAGATTTTAGTAAAGTTTATATTTTTAAAGATGATTACTATTTGTACACCAGATGTATATACACATATATATTAATATCTCAAAATTTTGATTATAAAACCCACTTCAGGGTTTTAACAAAAAAGATTTCTTGCAAAATTTAGTATAAACTATAAGCTTCTCTAACTCTAAAGCTACTCTTACCCTAACCTTAAGCTATACTAATTTTTCATTTACAATTTATATATTAAACAAATTCGTAAATCAATAAATTAATATAGTATATATATACCAGGTGTAAATTAAGTAATTCATTTTTAAATTAAGATTTTAAATTTTAGCATTATTTAATTTTAGTATTATTTTTAATAATTAATATCTAATACAGTCAAATCTTTCTATAGTTATCTTCTCTATAGTCATATTTATTTATAATTATAGAGAAGTTTAATACTTACTAGTAGTAAATTTCACCAGCCAATCAGAATTAAAGATCAGATATAATATATAAATTAATTTTGTATAACAAAAATAAAGAACTTTTAAAAATTGCTAATAACTCAAAATTTAATATATAAAACTAGCTTTAATATTCTAATAAAAAAAATTCCTTGCAAAATTTTACTATAAACTATATTTTTGCTCTATTTCAAACCTTACTCTAATTTTAACAATAAAAAAAACAAATATTCTATAAAATAGGTGAGCAAACTCCACAAACTCCGCAACTCTGCTATTAAAAATTAATAATTACTAATCATTAGCGAAGCTTATTTCTTATATTGTCTACCTATTCTATAGAATATCCAAAAAAACTAACTTTATTTTAAAAAATTGATTTGATTTTGTTATACAAGAATAATCACTAGTAAAATTCACCACTGATTATTGCTAAATAAATTCTATAATTATATAAATTTTTAAAACCAACTTATTTAGCACTTATGAAATTTAATCTCTATATAAGCATAAATACTTTATAAGCACCAAATTCTTAAAACCAAGTATATAATTATAAAAAGGTTTAACTATAATCTGTAATTTTTAATATTTGATTAATACTCTATAAAATCAAATCAAATTTTGAATTTGAATCAAATATTTGATTAAATTTTTAATAAATTTGATTAAATATTTGATTTAATTCAAAATTTAATTCGATTTTGCAAAGTACTGATCTGATAATTAAAATATCTGAGTTTTTGATTTTTAGAATAAGATTATATAAAATATATTTAATTAAATCTTGATTTTTCATATAAATTAATGATAATTGATGATCTTTTAGTAAACTGAAAAATATTTATAGTATAATATAAAATGGTTTTATATATAAATTTTTAAAACAAAAATATGATATTTATTTAAAAAACCTTTCTTTATTAAATAAATATATTCAACTCTTTCTGCTGATCATCAAAACACAAATTTTCGAAAAAACATAATTTACAAAACTTCAAAAAACACACAAAAGCCACTAGAAAACTAAATTCAAAACTCTAAAAAAAGAGGAAGAGAACTACAAGAAACACTTAGTCTCTTAAAGACTTGAGTTGGAAGAAACAGAAGTGACAAAGAAATAGAAGAAGTTGTAAAATATCGTCAGTATTTTTTTGCACTTTGTGAAAAATTGAGGAATTGGCCTTAACTCTGAATCACAAATCTGTTTTGGTAATACAAGAATCACAACATATAATGAAAAATAAACAAAGAAAACATGACAAAAACTATGTAATGAAAACAAACATAAGCAAAAAAAGTAAACAACTACAGCAAACAACAATAGCAACAACAAACAACAACTGTGGAAAAGCAACATGTCACTGTTTTTACATGAAGCAAACAGCAAAAGAATGGGCTGCAATAAGACCTGATAATATAGTAGAAGGTATGGTAACAGTATTCGACACTATCCAAGAAATAACAACAAAAATAACTAATGAAATAATAAACACAACAGTTGAAGAAATGATACCAGAATATATTGGACAAAAACTTATTACAAAAGAAGAAGCTGAAATACAAGAAGAAGAACTCTATGAAGAACTATAGCAATATAAACAT